TTTACCCTCTTCTGAAATGACTTGGGGGAAACTCATGCCTTGCAGTCTTACAGCAATATTCCGATTTCCCACTAAATGCAACTTTATAAATGAGAAACAACAAAGCTTTGACTAATAACTCATCTCTTTATTTAAAGATTACATGAAACAGACTCGGCGCAGACAGAAGTAGGAACCAAGAACACAAACCCAGCAGTGAGGGAAGAACAGGACTGGGATGGAGCCAAGTCATTTTTGTGACTGTACCATCACTGCAGGGCAGAAAAGCACTATACTGAGATAAGGCTGGGGCCGAGCTCCAAGCAGCAATCAGTCTTTTATTCCTGAAAACTCTTAAATCCCTATTGCAGAGGCTCTTAATTTCAAAACTGAATTAATCATTTATCTAATCTAATGACAGGAGAAATCCCAGAGCGATTTTGTTTGAAAACTGTGATGTCTCTACCCTTCATTTCCTTGGGCTTCACGACTGACCACAAACCTATTTCAGAGCTTGACTCCTGGGCATAGCCCTCTGTTGAAACACCTGAGTCCTCATAGCAGATTTCAAGACTAATAAACTCAAGTATCACCACATATCTTATAAACTTTCCAGATCTACACAAACAAGAAAAAAAGAAAAGAACAAGTAGTTCCTCTCGGTTCCGGTTAGCATTGCCATTTTAACTGAGGGGCCGTTGGACTTATAAAAATCTTGTGCAATTCAATAAAACCTTTATTTCCATGAGCAGTGAAAGCAAGCCATAAATTCCCTGTTCCCAGCAGACAGTCCATCTATGAACTTTCTGCCCCTGTTCTGTTGAGTCAGTGTGGTTCTCTACTCCACCTGCAGCCCAGGAGGATTCTTACTACTTGCCAGTTTCTCTAACGTAATCACCTTAAATACTCATGTCCATTAAGTTTAAATATCTTAGGACCATTAAATGGAACTCCTAGATACTAAGTCCCATATGGAGTAAATCTCTTTGGCAGTTTCTCCCCTGGAAAGCTGCCTTGGATTCGAGGCTGATCTCTATCAGGGTAAGATACCGACACTCTTTATGCGCTCCTTGATAACCGTGCAAAGCATATGCAGTCCTCTCAGCGCAACGTGCAAAGCAACACAGCCACCGGTGAGCAGTCTCAGAAACAGGTCTGCAGACTAGAAGGAGATCTTGGAGGGAAACTCAGCTTCAAAACAATTTTATCTTTTAACAGCTTCCTAATCCCCTCACCCCGCTCCCGCAGCTTTACCTTTTAGAGAGAGTCACACCCCCACCCATGTCAATTCTTGCATCCAAATTTAACAACTACAAAAATAAAATAAAAACGTGATAAGACAACCTTCACAAAAGAAAATAAATCAAATTTTTTAAAAACAGCATTTTGAGGATAAATCTAGAGTGCCTGCACTAAGCCATAACCTCTTTACTGATGTTTTTTCCTTCCCCTTAACAGATTCAGGGACTGTAATAACATTTAATCCTCAGAAGCTAATCTAAATGTAACACTCAAAAGAAGACAAAGACAACGCAACAGAAAAAAAATTTGGCCACTGCCTTTTGGGAGTGCTGCTTTATCCCCGGAGCGAGCGCATTAATAGAGCTTGGAATGAAATGCCATTTTATTCTCTGTAGCAGGGAGGGGATTAGCAAGTTGTCTTCTCTAAACCCAGTTTGAGTCATGGCTCTATGAACACTGAGAAAAGGATGTGGAACGAAGTGAAGGGCGGGGAGCACTGGCTTTTTATTTACACGCTGCTTCCTTTGTGGGTGGTTACTGATGTGCACAGTTTGCTAAACAGGGAAGGAAGGGGGAAAGAAGTTCTAGGTCCCCAGACTTTAATTCTGTTGGTTAACAAAATAGAAAAACAATAATGTACCGGTTATAATAACATCATTGAGACAATATGTCCGTGGCAACTGTCCAATTCACCACAGCATGTAAGCAACGAGGGCAAGTTGCTTAAGGTGCTGAAAGCTGTGCTCAGTGGTTTCTTGTTGCTAGGATCCTCTTCCTGGGAGAAAGAAACAGGTTGGACAGAGCCCAGAACAAAGAAGGAGACACTGTGGCAGAAGGAATGAATGCAGAGACAGGAGCAGTCCGGGTTCAGGTGCAGAGATGAGAAACAAAGTCCACTGCACGAGTCAGGCCACGAAGGCATCAAGCCCAGCGCCCTACCTTGACATAGAAACCAAGAGCTAATGACCGTGTCAGTGGTTTAGCATGAAGGTCAGCACTAAGCACTTCACTTCTGATTCCATACAAAGGGAGATAGGAAGGTTTACCTGCCCACCTCGCAGGCATGCTGTGAAGGGTCACTGGTGGAGAGCTTGTACAATATTCCTAAATCCTGCAACACTTGATAATCACTAAGGAGAGGAAATAGTCCGTGGAACGCTTGACCACTTGAGCAGAGCTGTAGGTGTTAACAGAATTACAAAAGTCAATAAATGCCAAGAAAACACACTTTTTCTGTTTCAGATATTTCTTATCTTTGCTTCAACACGGATTCCAAAACCCAGGGTATTTGCTGTGGAAACAGCCCGAGCTCTATTGCCCTCTTCCTCCCTCAGCTACGCCAACATACAACGGCAGAATACAACAAGCACGGGGCAGGTCGGTCCCACAGGGTGTAAGTCACAGACCTCACAGCGAAGCAGGTGTAATACAGGCCAGGGACACTGTGGGAAGGAGGTCTCCTGTGCAGCTGGAGACAGTGCCACTCCTGGCTGCCTTTTGTTCCAGGAGCTGTCGTAGTCCAGCACTGGAAGCAGGCAGACCTTCACTCATACTTTGGCTGTGTTCCAGCTCATGTAATTTTGCTGGAGTGTCAGTTTATTCCTGCCAACCAAGCTACTAATGTGCATAAATCAGTCTTACCTATCTTAGCACTTACTGTGCTTGTATGTCTAATATGAAAGTGCAAATCAGGATGAGCAAACTATTCTTTCCACTTAAGTCACAGGGCCTTGTAATTTATTACCATAAACAGGCTGTAGAAAGACTCAAATGTACACCACCTAACAAGAGGACCTTGCAACGTGCAGACTTCAAGTCCTACCAATTAAGCGTGAGCCCCAGTGTACAAAGGCCGTTTCCCTGACCCTGTCCCAGCCTTACCACGACCCACACGTGAGGCATGTGCACTCCGTAAGAGTGTTTGTACACCGTGTTGTACACTGAGGCAACAATCCCAGACAGGATCGCGGCATACTGCTGTAAGAAACATGTACACTGCAGACTGATGGGATAAAGCAGCGACCCTGCCTGCATGTCCAGTTATCAGAGGGCATTATCAGTCCCAGACCGTGCATTCCAACAAGCAGCTCGGTGCAATCCTGGATATCGCTGGCAATGTCTACTGTAAAAAATATATGAAGTGTGGTGTTCACTTCTCCCTCAGTTTCACTAGTGCCACACAGCTTGTCCCTTCTCAAGGCATCCCCCAGCCACGTTATCTTTTCACACAAAATTCCCACTAGGGCAGGTGTCTCTTTCGGCTCCGAGTCACACAGCCTAAGGAATCCGTCCCCGTACAACCAAATGGAACAGCATTGCACAATAAGGCCAGGAGCCAGGGACTGGCAGACGATAAAGGCTCAGTGAAAAGGGGAAGGAACCCCTAAGAGACCATAAACACATTTTCTGAATCTTGGAAGGAGTCATTAGCATTGGCGCTGGTCTCAGCCACTAACCTTTATGAGAAATGGTTGCGTTCCTGAGTTTCCTACATTACCAGTCTTCATCTCCACAAGAAACAGAAAGACTACATGAAACTCAAACTTAAGACTACTATAAAACATAGGTTAGTTACGGTCTGTAACAGCAAGAACATAAAAGGTCACCATTCCTTCCTTTACAAAGTCACAAGGACAAATCATTTCTACACGTGTTCCCAGCAACTGACCACACATCTGCAGAAGAAAATCCAAGAAAAGACTGATTGAAGACTGTCAGAACTTTATGTCCTATGAATTTTTAAAATTTTATTTAAAAACAGAATTTAGAATTCTACTTACGGAAAACTGCATGAAAATGTATGCAATGTGTTAGCTGCCCTGTTTTGGCTTCTTTAGCAACTTATTGCTTGACTGTCCAAACAAAAATGTTGAAATTACAACAGGTTATGTGATGCTTTGGCAGACAAACTTAATTTTAAATAAAGACAGTACAATATACTGCACACCCCACTAACATATTCGTCACTACTATATTATTTATTTCTGCAATTAAGTATCATACAGTCTGGACTGGACCCAACTGGACTACATATGTTGCTACTCCAGTTTACTGCATGTTGGCCAACTGTTTACCCAACTGAGATCCGAGTGCTGCTCTTGACAGTGTAATTGCTTTGGACTCATTAATATTAAAGAATTACAGAAAATATTTTTTCTTGGACAGCTGTTAGTGCATGTGGAACAATAAGCTATGTAACACTACTGGCAAATACAAATGGAATTTAGACACTAAATATGCTCACGGTAAAAAGACAAGCATTAAAGGTCTGCTAGTTGTGCCAAGGCCAACAAAAAAGGCCAGTAAAATCACTGCACTCGTTCTAAGAAAACATTCGTGATAATTACAACTCTATTTTGATTTAAGTTTATAGGACTAGGATTTAGACTGTTTACCTTTTTCTTCCCTGGACAATGAAAACTTTAGAAGTGATGCTGTTCTTACTCCCACGTACTGGCCCAATGCTGCTACGTGTAGGTTAAATACACTGGGTCAGAGCTGGAACAGATTAAACACGTTCCAGTGCCCGTTCGAACACCCAAGTAAATACTCGTATTCAATGTGAATTTTCCAAGTCCGTGTCTTCTCCCTCATTCTCCCCTGCAAGATCCAAGAAGCTTGGCAGAGGAAGAGGGGATGCTAGCTTACAGCTTCTCAGCCCCCTAAATACCTGACAGGAGATGACTTCACACTCCGTTTACAGGAACATCCAGAGGCCACACACAGACCATTTTGAAACGCAACTGGAACCACTGAAAAGAACAAAAATGGCTCCTCACTTTATCCACTCCTCTGCCTTGGCGGCTGCCTCCTGGTACTGCTCAGACGTCAGCTTGTAGATCTCTGCATTCTGAAACAAAAAATATAAATGCTCAGCTCTAAAAATTAAAGGCATCTCAGATCTTATCCCATCACAAACTTATCTTCTATAACTAATAACTACTCCCAACAATGAACAGCATATTCAGTTCAAAGAACACCAAAAAAAAAAAAATGCTTAAAAGTTCATTTTATTTTCAGCAAACGCATCAAGACCACAACATGTCCTCCATTCCGCGCCTCACCTTTGCAAGGGGAAGGGGGGGAAAAGGTTGCTAACAACCAACCGTCAGCTTTGATTATTCCGTGTAACCACAGCACCGAGTTATTCTGAGTTAGGTTGTGTTTTGTTCTCTTTTCTCATTAATTGCTGTGAAGGATCTTGCAAGTTACTGACGTGCAAGTATCAAAATTGGCTGCTAGCACTGGAAAATCCATTTTACATTTCAGTGCGTCTACTTATGTTACTTATTCTTTAAAAGAAAATTATGCAGCCTGTTTGCCTTTTAACAACATCGGGAGGCGTATCAGGTATCAGTTAAGGCACTGCCAAACAGAGTCTGGAGTGTCTTGCTGAGGGGCTTAAGAGGTTTGCATTAAATTCTCCTGAGCTTGCACAGAAAGAGTTTTAGTTCACAAGTGCTCAGCCACTGAACACAGAGGATGGATTCCTGCTCCCGGCTGCCCTGACAAGCCTCCCAAGCACAAACAGCAGAAGGGAACGGCTGCGCACCCCCAGCGACTTCGCCGCGAGGTCTTGTGTCGCTGAACTGCTGATAAAGCTGCTTTAGGCAAAGCCTCTGGACTTTATACTGAAAAAGCTGCAATTGCCTCACTCAAAGCTCATCTGCAAGGCCCTTAGTCTGAAAAGGCACATGTAGAAAATATGCAATAATCAATCAAAAATGTGACAAAATGGTTTTGAAAGCGAGGACAGCTATTCATTTAGGGCCGGTTCTAGCTGCTATCTCGTCTCTCCCCAAATTTGGTCATTTTATATAGAATACTATTCTTGCCCTTCTTCATTTATTTTCCCATAAATGCAGCTGTGGTCCTGCGCATGATGAGACGACACACATTGTTCAGTGGTTAGAAAAAGGAAAGGACAGATATAACTCAAGTTCTATTAGCGGTTCTGCCACTTGTGCAATCTTGGGCAACTCACCATTTTCCATCTGCAAGCGAGGGATAACAGCTGCCTGGATCACTGAAGTTGTGTGAAGCTTAGCTAATTGGAAGGTTTATACAGGTTTTCGGAGCCTAGGCTTCAAGGTGCTATATTTAAGCGTTTTATCACTGGTGCCTGAATTTATGTCACATACCAAAAAACCCACAGAACAGACTTTGCTTTTCCAAACTTTGACCTAGGAGACAGACTTAAACTGAAAAATCATGGATGAGTAACCACTTCAAAACGCTTTTTGCCAGCAAATTGTCATTAAAGTTTTCATTTACTTACTTGTTACATAATGGTCAAACTTCTATGCTATTAAACCCATTTTACTCCTTCCTATAATGAAATGTTCAGCTTTTAACGGAGCCTTTTTCTCTGTCCTGTAAACAGACCTCATGACTTTCAGCTCCCTGCTGTTACTTATTCACACATGAAACCACAAGACTCGTGCTTCATTAATTAAATTTGCCATTAAAAATTAAATACTGTGAATAAGTAGATGTAAGCGTTATCTCCATAGGTTTCATAAGTCTCACCGTTTCTCCAATTACTACCCAAGCAATTTTTCTATTTCATACTGTCTGATTTCTCAAAGGGACTGGATTTGAGAGATCAAAATGAGAGAAAGTGGGAAAGAGAGAAAGCAAGGTAGTAAAATTAAACATTTTTCAGGCAATAGGAAGTAGCCCCGTCAGATACTATTAGCCTGCAGCACTCTGCAGTGAAACAGCAGCAGGAGAGGAAAACAGGAACAAATATGCTGTACGTGAGACCCAGCATGAGGCTGGCATTTAACCCACCTAAAAGAAAGAAGTAGTAGCCAACAGATTCATTTACTGTTTGTACTGTCGATTAAAGTGGTCGGGGCACAACCTTGCCTGGTTTATCAGAGAGGGAGTCCAACTGCCCAGTACCATGGGCAGCCCCATCTGCAACATCATCAACTACAAACATGGGCAAAAATAGCTGGGAAAGAAACGGTTATGAAATAGTTCTGGATCCTAGAGCTGATAAAAGCAGACAAGCGAGAACCTGAAGGGAGAGGCAAGAATCTCAGTGAGGGAAAGGAGGAGAGACGTGGCCTCAAAGAAACCACAAGACACATGGCACAACGTGAAGATCGAGGAGGGGCACAGAAGACCTTCAACCTGAAGAGGAAAACTGCTGAGTTTTAAAAATGAAAAGGAAGCATCTTTGCATGTGATCCAACGGGGCCTCTTGCCTTTAGATCAGACCTCTCTACGCCTTCTTCCCCCCTCCCCTCCCCGTCAAAAACCCTACAAACCAATGAGTGTTCAATGGCATGAATCAGTTACCTGTAAATGCTTCACCAAGGAAGAGAAACAGAGTTTTACTGTTTAAACCTGACTTTGTTCAACAAGCAGACCTGTTAAACAGGTTTTCCTTGGCCTCTAGGCCCTTTCCTACCTTGGGAAAGTCACATTCACTTTTGTCCTAAACACTAAATGCAACAAACAGCAACAAATGGGCAATAGACGGGACTTTCAGCACGGGCAGAGTCACAGCACGTTCTGAGATTTGGGGCTTCTACTCACAGAGAATAGTTCTCCAAGTATCCTCACCTGTATGACTTCAGACCCAGGATCTGCTTCACTGTCTGTATTTTACCTACCACACTACAGCAGGGGATAACGTTCCAACGGCCTACAAAAATCTAGGACTTCATAACAAGGTTGCAAAGGAGGAACCAAGCCAGGAACCACCTATGCACTTCCCACGACTTCAGCAGAGCCGTCCACACACAAGGGCTATTCAGCAGGATCAAGGTGTGGTATTTGCACTTGAGACAAAGCCTGAGCTGCCTGTAGTCTTGGCAAAGTCCTTTAGCATCATAAAACAATATTCAGTTGCACGGTAAAAGAGAGAACATTCAACACAAAATTACAAGACATCAATGCTGCTTTTAATTTACTCTCACAATATTTGATGCTTGAGATAAAATGGCAGCTCACAAAGAAAAAGTTGAACATGAGACCTCAACTATTATTAAATAAAGCTCCTGGCAGCGTTAGTTGCAGAAATAAGTTTAAAAACATGACCAAAGGACACCATAAGGGCTCAAATAACAAGAGACACAGAAAGAATGAATGAACCACCTAAAATGTTTCACTTCTCTCAATAAAGCTGAGCCTTAGGGGAGCCAACTTCAGAACATCAGAGCTTTGTCATATGGGGAGAGCGCTCTCCAGAGAGGACAAACAAACTAAACAAAGAAATGTTAGTTTGAAAGATTTTCCCCTGCTATTAAATGATGGTTCGTAGCAAATAATAAAAACACCAAGAAGTTATAAAAATACATAACTAGAGCCTAAAGACCAACAGAACCTGCTTTCCTTTACCCTACTGCTATCCTACAACAGATTTGCTGCTATACCCTTGCTCCTCACTCTTCCCAAAACACCCTTGCACTAAAAATTCCCCCTCCAAAGGGAACCAATGTTAAAATTCAGAGCTAAATTTGGAGTAATTTTAATTCAGCATTCCTCCTTGGCTGCAAACATGCAGAGAAACTCCAACACTCACTACTACATCTCGCTACACTGTCCAGGTCCTTTCCACAACATATAGCAAAGAGTAAGAAAACAATATAGCAGAAGACGGAGTTCTCAGGGTTATTTCAGGAGGGAAAGTAATTGAAGCTTAAAGAGAAAACCCTGCCAGCTCATTCTCACATTGACATTAAAGCACATTCCTTACAACTTCAGTGAAACATGCGCTACTTGCAGTAACATGTAACACAGAAAACCAAGCAACACAAGCACAAGGAACTAGAAATTAATGAGATTTTAGGTGAAATTCTTTGTGAATGTCAAGCAGCAGCAGCAAAAACCTGAGACTGGGACACAGATTTCTCCATCGGGTTCAGTTCGGGTCAATAGATCAGAAGGTGTTTGGATTTAACAAAAAAAAAACCAACAAACACCCAACAAACCAACCAACCACCATCACCACAGCTATCTTGAGATATTTTGACACCTCAGAGTATAGGAGCTTGTCAGTGGTCACGGTGCTTACAGATACAAAGAGGATTAACAGCTGTTGAAATGCTGCCAGCCTAGATGAATGCTAGTGATACCTCTGATGAAACGGAGCAGGCCAGCAGAGGCCTTGACAAATGCTGCAGACGACAGCCGGGGGATTAGATGGTACAATCTGCCTCGCACCTGACAGATGCGTTGCTTCGAGCCCCTCTCCTGACACCCGCGCTCACCAGCTTCCAGCAAACAAGCCCCAAGCATCCTGCCACGAGCCCCCCTGGAGCCGAAAGGAGCACGAGCACGGTGTCGCGGGGCAGGGGGAACACGCGTGTGCCCCACGGGTAGGAAACACCACGAACTTGGGAGAGAAAGGGGAAAGCAGAGGTTACGCCTCATGGATCAAATGTCAACGTTCAAATCCCTGCTTCCAGCTGCTTCCAAAGCCAGAAATAAGACCTCACGCCATCCTGATAAAGCAGCACGACTGTCGCCTGCCCACACACGCTTGAGGCCGGGGAACACACGCGTGCCTGGACACAGCTGCTGCCCCGAGGAGCAGCGAGAAGCCACTTGGGTTAGCGCAGGCTTTGGGAACTGCCTTGGCTCACAGCACTGCCCTGGGGATCGGAGGGACGCGCGGGCACCGCACACCTCACCGGGTCGCTGCCTCACACGCACGGTAAAGCAGGTTGCTCAGTCTCGTTGCTCAGAAGTCACATGCGAACGGCTCCTAACAGATATGAAAAATTACCCCGTCTACCCGCAGCCCTCCCACAGGTACAGAGGCAGATGAGCTGAACCGATCCGTTCGCTGGACGGCCCTTTGGATCTGTTAAAATCAACCGACAGAATCCATCG